GCCTAAACAGCCTTTCTAAACTGCCAAACCACTCTCTAAGTCAGACAGCCCTTTCTCCAAGATGGCAGGGCCAGCAAAAGGCAAGGAGTGGGACTACATATGTGCACAGCCCGTGGTGACTTGTGAGTTTCTTGTGCTCCTTTCCTAACTACTTCTTAACCTTGCTTTTGCTTTTTTGTTTGTTTTAACTCTGAATGGTAGTTGTATTTCTTGCCTTTGCATCTCATCTCCATGATTTGATTTCACTCGATGAACGTTTACTAATCACCTTTGTGCAGGGCACTGTCCTAAGAGATGTAATAAAGGACCAGTATTGATTCTGCCCCAAGGTGTTAAACTAAAGAAATACTTGTGCAATAGGTAGAAGTTAGTACTCTGTATCCATGGAGGATTGGTTCCTGGACCCCACTGTCCCCATAGATAGAAAAATCCACAGATGTGCAAGTCCCATATAAAATGGTATTGTATTTGCATATAACCTATACACACCCTCCAATATACTTTAAAGCAACTCCAGATTACTTATAATACCAATGAATGTAAATGCTATGCAAATAGTTGCTGTACAACATTGCTTAGAGGACAGTGAAGAGAAAAAGAGTGTGCATATTTAGTACAGATGCAGCCATCCATTTTTCTTCAATTATTTTTGAGCCACAGTTGGTTGAATCCACAGATGCGGAACGCACAGATATGGAAAGCTGACTGTACATGGTTAAAATAATGAGAGGAATTAGTGCCAGGGGTGCTTGGAAGAAGGAGAAGGAATTTAGATGTTAAGAGAGAAAATAAGGCAAAACTCTAGAAGAAGTAGCATTTGACTAAGACATCTCACTGGGCATTATGAAGCCACTTAAGGCTTTTGGGTTGTGAAGTGGGTGGTCAGTTTGTGGCAACAATGAGCAGACTGAATTGGTTTGTTAGGAGATGGTGTGAAAGTGCCCAGACTTGTGTCAGGAGGAGAGCTATTTGGTGAACATTGCTGGTGTTGAGGTGACAACTAGAAGAGCTGAGTGGTAAAGGTATCCCAAAGTACACAGGGTGGATGAGAGAATGGCAAAGCCCTGAACAGTAATAGTGATCACAGGAGAAGAAACTGTTTGCAGGCCCACATAATGAGTTGTCTGGGACACACTGAGCTTGAAAAGTCTACAGCACATCAGCATCAGGATATCAGAAATGAAGACCCACAGCTCCAGAAAAGAGGCAGGAAGAGGAGAGATTCACAGAGAGAGACACTTGAAACCATGAAAGGATCTCTGTATGGCTCATTTTGAGTCAACTACATTAGGATTTTTCTTATAGAGAAAAATGTGTCACAACATGTAAATTCCACAACTGAGTAGTGTGAGCCTGATTTTGGCTTGATTTTTAAAGCTGGGATATTGTTCTAAAGTAGCATCAGCACAAAGATTCGATGATCTGTAAGTAACACGTGGAATTTGAGGTGACATCCCTATTGTATCCATTTATATCATAGTTCTAAACGTTTCTGTCTTATCCTTCTACTAGAGTTTTGTCATACTTGAATATTCTAAATGCTATGGTTGTCAAAGGTAATACATTACAGAAAACTTGGAAAACAGAAACACTTTTTTTTAAGAAAGCAAAAAAAAAGGTATAATCCACACACCAGTAACCACTGTTGTTAAGCGTTTTTTATATATGTGTATACACAGATAGTATATGCATGTGTACACATCACATATGGAAATGCATAGATACACACTTTATGAAAATGGTTTTATAGATGACATATACAGTATATACATATTTTCTTGGTATTGTAGATCATATTTTACATTCTGTTTTGAATTCACTTTTCTTCAGTTGATATTACATTTGAACATTTTTCCACGTCACTAAAAATGGTTCAAAAAAAGCTTTATATTTATGTACTGCATAATATTTCATTAAATGCACCTGTCATGACATTGAAGCATCCCTTTAATTGTCATCAGACAATCCAGTAAGGTGTGTATTTTGAGAGGATGAGGTGGGATGTCTTTTCTGCTTATACCACATTACTCCAGAATGATCACTGTTTCATCCTCAGCTTCTCTTCTTACTACTACAGCCCTGATGATGGGAGTGTTAGGTAGAGTCGTGTCACTGCCCAGGGTAAGAAGTACATGCGTGGTCAGGATAAGAAAGACAATGAAAAATTAGTCGTTTTGCCCAGAAGCCAACAGTGTCTTGTATCTTTTCCTTTTGTGATCATTCTTAAACACTGGGTTGGCCTTGTTCGCCACTGTCACATATTCAAACTCATGTCTACATACATATACACCCACATCAAGACCTAAACATGGGGGAACTTCTTATGCTCTCTAAATTATGTCCTTTTTCATCACTCTTTATAACGTACACTTGGTCTAAGGGGGAAAAAAAACGAGTGTCTTAAAGGTAAGCAACAGGAAGTTAAGTTTAGGCGAGCTTGCCTTCCCCTCTGTGACAGCTTAGTGAAAGGCCAGGGTTATGCCACGAACCCCAGAGAGAGCAGAGCCCATGCACACGAATATGCATTAGCAGGACTGGACAGAGCACCATTGTTTTGATATCTTTCTGTTTTCACAGGTGCCATAGAGTCATTTTATGAGTCTTCACCGTGACCCATGCCACAGAAAGACAAATATAGCTATAGTTTTGCTGAATCCAGGTCTAAAGCTCCTTGTTAAAACAAAAACATAATTTCTAAATCAGTCCAAAGCGAAGTCCAACATCTTGAATTCTACACACTCCCCCCTTTATTCCCTTTCTTTGCTTCAACTTGTCTCCTTCAATGTTACCGTCTCCATCTTAAATATCATCAGCTGATAAATCAACAGACAGAGTTCTGCAACAGTTTATTCTAATATTGAAGATGACAAATTACAGCCATAAATTTTTTTAGGAGAGGAGGCAGTGGTATGCATTTCTGCATTCAGAAATTCATGTAGGCATGGATAAAGATACTAGGGTCAGGTAAAATGGAACTTCCAAGTCAATTTGATTTATTCCTTAATTGACTACTATTAGATAACAGTGTCTATATAAAGTTAATAGGACTTTGGAAGACTGGCATACCTTAAAATATAGTCCTTTCAGAAAGAAAATTTTCTTAATCACTAGATATAAGAATTATTGGAAAGAACTCATGATTCTAACAAAAAGCAGGACTAACCCTTCCTCCAATTTCTTGTCTGTCAGAAGGATGGAGAAAAGAATGGAATATTTAACTCAAAAAACAGGAAGAAATGTTTATTTCATTCTTATGTTTTTTAAAAAATGGGATTTTGAACATGCTCAAGAGGCAGGATTACATTTGTGGAACACTGTGGAACATTGTTGCTTAAGGCTAACACACACACACACACACACACACACACACACACACCCACCCCATGAAAATTTTGTCATACGAGTACAAAAAAATGTAGTCATAAAAATAAATACGGCCAATTTAGTCATGTAAAATAAATAAATTGGTACTCCCATGATTTTTCATCCTGGGAATAGATCTCTATCTTAATAGCTTTGTTCCCCATTTTCTTTCAAACAAATTTAACTTCTCTCATGTATCACCTAAACTTTCAATAATTTCTTCAGAAACTACACAGGCCCCTTCACACCCCTTCCCTCCTGCTTACCTCTCTTAGTCTCCAGTCAGGGCCATTTTTTATCTTTCTGAGCTACAATAAACCCAGCTCACCCAAACACCTCGGTTTGTTAGCCGTATCTTAAAAACAAGCTATATCATCCTATACCAGAGGAGGGGGTCAAAGTGAAAGTCTTTATTTATTTACATATAAATGTATACATATTTATATATTGAGTATATAAATATTATAGACATATAAATACTTACCTATCCAGTCATCCCAGGGGTACAGATAGAATACATGGGTTCCTTCAGTATTCAAAATGGGGGGTTTTCTATCATTTGTCAGTTACAAAATAAGCATCTTCTGCCTTCTCCCTACCATGCTCCAGGCCTGTGCATCGAGTCTCTCCATCTCTCACTCTTGATGGTAGCTCAGTTGCACTCGCCCTCTTATCCAAAACCAACGCGTCAGACATCCTCCACAAGGCAGGAGACATGGCCTCAGTAAGGATACAATCTTACCAATTGTAGGCTTCAGCTGAAATCAGTGAAGCAGGTTAGGGTCCTCAAGTCTTCTGGAAACCTCCACACAGCCTATAATGTCATGTCTTATGGAGCCTTTAGCCTCTGCTCTTCTTACACGTGGCTTCCCGGGGTACTTAGATAGACTGACAACAGCCATGACAATCATAAGCACCACTATAATAGCAGTTAATACTATATGATATTTTATAGACTGCAGGGAAGAAAATAAACCTTCGTATTTATTCTCTCATTTAACTGCCTACCTTTATTTTGGTAGGGAATTTGCTTTTGCTAATAGTTACCTACTGTGTTCAGTAGCTGCCCCCTCCCCTTATACAATACCCAAGTGGCTGCTTTCCAGGTAATAGTAAAAGAGAGAAGAAACCTACTCACTAATGCAGTTAACATGGTATTGTCAATTCTGAGGTACATACTCTCCTGCTTGGATAGCTCTCTCTTTTGCTCTTTCATCAGAAGTGAGACAGTAACTGTAATTGCTTTGTGAGCATCTGGAAGTAACATTAATAATGATGATAATAATAATGACCTCATAGGATGTATAATTTGGGGATTAAAGAGCATTTACAAGCTTATTGTGTCATAGTTAATGATGAGGTGCCAAGTTTTCTTGCCACCACCCTTTGCAGTGGTATTTCCTGCTTGGATCAGAGAACTAATTATAGTAAATGGTGCCCTTTCAAAGAACCTGGCCCATCGATGGCTAAAGCATATGCTAGCATAAAGATATTGAACTGTTTTAGTGTTGTTTGCAGAGACAATTTATTAATGTTGTTTTGCATTTGTATAAAAAATTTGTATGATGTAATCATTTAGTGTTTATTTTATTGTGTGTACCTTCTACTCAGAGGGTTGGCATTATTGTTCCTAACAGTGACGGATACAAGCAGATCATGCCTTATGACCTCTACCACCCCCTTCCTCGGTACGTAAATCCATCATCCTGATGTTAGAATTAGCAAATCAGTCTTCTGCTGCTTTTTAAAATATATATGTAGACATATAGAGAGAGCAATTCTGTGTTTTTCTGTTAAAAAAAGAAAGATGGTAGATGGTATATTTTGCAGTCCATCCTGAGTTCTGCTTCTAAACAATAATGGCCTGCTCAGAATGTAAACTTGTCATTTTCAAACCATTTTAAAATAGGATCATATTACATTGGAGTGATCACAGCCTTTCACTCTGATTAGATACAGTGTATGGGTTTATGTTGTGTCTTTTTTTCTCTCCCTTTGTCCTTTTCTCTGTTTCCTTGACAACAGGTTCCTAGTCATTAAAGCACTGTTGCTAATTGTTAAACACTGCCACAATTGTGGGATTCCAAATGGGATATTATTCTGCATAGGAACTTTAAATGTCTTTTTTTTCAAATAAATTATAATTAAGTACAAAAGGCAATTTTTTCATATTCTTATTATTCAGAACATCTTAGGAGATTTTTCTTTTTCAAAGCAAAACATTCCATTTTAAAAGTACATACAGTACTTTTAAAAAATTACAAAAGATAATAAAAGTAATTCAGAAACTTTTCAAAGAACTTGTTCTCTTTATAATATATTCATAAGAAAACTGGAGAAGCTGAAAAATATGCTGGCTACTGAGTATACTGCCTGCCACATTGGAAACAGCACAGAAAGTTGAAATAGACTTTTGCTCTATTTTCTTTGCTTATTTTGGCCCTCAGGGAATCAGCTGCTATTTAGAACCAAGGGTTTACATCAGATCATAAATAGTTGGAATAATCCACAGTAGTTTGCTCCATCCCAAACTAAATGGAACCCAGAAAGTAATTTCATTCTGAACTGTAAAGTAAAGCAAAGTTTGATCGAAAATCTCCAAATTCCTAACAACTTGGAATCCCAGTAGAGGTCCCTTGAGGTCATCTATTCCAACTCCCCACTGATGCTTCATTCTCTCAGTCCTTTCTCCCAAATCACAACCACATACCATAGATAGGTAAACATACATATTTATACAAATGTGCGTTTATATATTCAATGCATACATAGTCACACATGCTTGTACACATATATAGATATTTATATAATACACATATACTAGTGCAAGTTGTCCTCTAGTACCTACTTATATATACCCAGTGACTGGCAGGGAACTCACCATTCACCTAATGAACACACAGAAAGAATTTGATTTATACAACGTACCATTGTTGTTTTAAATTCTTTCACTAAGTGGCTGCTTCATTAGTTGGCACTCTCCCACTTTCCTATGACTATATTGATAAAGATAATAAATGACGTTGGAATGTTCCAGAAGTATCACTTTGCTTGTCTGGTCTAGAACTCTTCCTTCTGAAAAAAAAAGTTTAATGAAAATACCCAAAGATTAATTTAACTGAACCAAGATTTTATTTGGTTCTGATTTCCATATTTGTAAAGTAAGTATCCATAAGGTGCATGTATCTGTTTGTGTGAAAGCCATACATTTCAAGATTAAGGTAAAGTTGAGCATCAGGAGTGAGCAACATCAAGTTTATGTTTTTCCTGTAATGGAAGCTCCTAGATTTCCATCATATCTATGATCACTCTTGTTTATATTTCTCTGGCATAACTCGTGCCTATCCTAGGGTAAAATTTATTTCTCATAGACTGAAATTTCCCTCAAATGCCAAAAGCCCAACGGTGTATTGAAATGAACCCCCTTGCTGTTTGTTGCAGCATGTCCCTGTGTGTACACTTTTGGCATGTCCGTGCATCATAGTGGTAAAGAACAATTAGCAAATAAGCTGCATTTCTTACCCCTTGCACTTCTGACACGGGGTTAGTTCTAAAGTTAGCTATTCAGCTGTAGATAAAGTCTTAGAAAATGAAAGCTGCTTCTGCAAATGTGTTTCCACTTCATAAGAAGAATTAAGGCTCAAAATTAATTCTTAAATGGCAGCTGCCTACTAATCAAAGCAGAAGGCCTTATTTATTTAAATTATTTAAATGGGTGTAAGACCACAAGTATAGATACAAAACAGTTAATGAATTTTTGGATTGTTCTTTCCTCCTTTCAGTCTTTGTGACACATATGTGAACATAATATGAGAATGCAGTCTGTGGAATTTTGTTGAGTCATAATTAATATATGCCACATTTCTACTTCCTCATTAATTTTGATAAATTCTTAAACTGAACACATTGTGTGTTTAACAAAATTAAAATCCAAAAGAGTTAAAATAGATGATATACAAATTCATGTAATGTTCTTCCAGGATAAGATTCTTGGATATGCCTTTTTTCATTCCAAGCACTAACCTGGTTGCCATTTTAAGATCTTCTGACTGATACTCTCTTTCAGCTTTTGTTATACTTTCTTTAAAGCACCCCGATATGTTTTGCTTTAAAATTACATGTAACTCTATTATTATGCAAGGATTCACATGATTATTTGACATATAGAACTACCATTGTATGCTGGAACTATACTGTACATTTTTAGAATCATATTAGCCTCATTTGTCTTTCTGTGATCACTGACATTGAAAAGGATACTTATTACTATTTGTGAAGTTACAGTATGTTCAGGTCCAAGTGTTGAGACAGAGATTAATCTCTCTCCCTTTAGCAGGGTCAAGTTTAGGGATTTTAGAGAACCAGTAGAAAATGTGCTCTTTAATGACATCTTAATATTCTAAACAATTAAATGTACATTTTAGAACCTATTCCTACTTCATTGTCAGGTCAAATCTAGTGTGAAGATGTACTTATGTATTCAGCCCTTTCAACCTGAATCAGGCCTGTTATTCACCTCCAGAAGGAAGCCCTCCCAAGATCTACATGGAGACAAATGAGAACTGGTCTTACCCTTTTGGAAGAGAAACTCTCTACAGAAGCTACTTCATTCTCTTGAAAGAGATCAGAAAGTCTCCTGGCTAAACAGAGGGCCTCAGTTTCCCCAAAATGACATTTTCCTACGTATCCTCTGGGGAAATACACATAGGAAAATATTGTATTTGGCAGCGGAGATAACAGTCGTTAACTAAACTTGAACAGTGCAGGGAAAATATGAGAGCAAACCCTTTGTAACTGAGAAATACATATTATTCAGGCTCATGCAGAAGAGAAATCAAACTCGCACTGTACATGAAATCCTACTTACAGAATAATTAATGTTTCCATGGTATGCCTGTGCACTATTTGAAAATTTAACCATTCAGGTAGATAAACTCAGTGACATTTTGTTTCTCTCTCATTAAAATTATGTCTCTCATAATTCTAAGAGAAATCTTAGAGCTCCTTAGCAGTTCTCATCAACAAGCAGAATAATATATGTAAGAAAAACAAGCTCAGCTCACTCAGTGCCAATGTTTCTGTTTTTAGAAATTCTGCATCCTCTAAATCTACAAGAGGAGAAAGATAAGCAAAGATATCTCTCTGCATCTGGGCTCAAATGCTTCAGAGCTGTGTAGAAATCTGGGAAAAAGTGAATGAAAGTCTCTGAAATGTTATTGAAAATAATTATATATCTAGATGTAGGTGCCATTAGTATTCCAACCAAAACCAAATCTCTTCACAGTTCCAGGAGTTCTTTGTTGGAAAAACTCTATCAATATCCCTCAACAATTACAGAATAAGTAGATAATGCCCTCCTCAGCTTGATAATGACACAGTTTGAACATAAAAAATGCAAGGAATCTATGTAGTCCAAAGCTGATGATTGCGGAAGTGAAGAAGAGAATCTTCTCTTGACCTTGATCTTTTAAAAGCTTCTCCTATTTAAAAAAAAAAAAAAAAAGACCTAGAAGTTAAGTAGCAAAGTCCTTCACCGAAAATAAATCAGCCCAGGTGCAAACTGTTAGTGTTAACTGATTATCTAACTTTAACCTTGACTTAGGGACTTGCTAGGCTTAGTGAAAATAAATGATGAGGTCTATGTCTTTCGAGTAGGTTGCAGACATTGCCGATGTCTTTGTGGACAGCTCTCAGAACTGTCTTTGCTTACATTTCCGTAGCGCTTCACAATGTACAGAGCAGTTTTGCCAGCGTTGAATCCTTCTCTCTCACTCACCAGATTTCAGGCAATAGAGGGTTTCAGGTTCTCTGAACCGAAGCCTCTCAGAACCTGATTCTACCTTTAGGCACTGGGAATGGGGTTGGTCTGACCGGTCACTGAGGAGGTTTGGCAATGTGCATGTCTGCCCTGATGACTCCCCTTGCTTCTGTAGGTGGGAGGCCACCCCGTGGACCGCGTGCTCCTCCTCGTGTGGGGGGGGCATCCAGAGCCGGGCAGTTTCCTGTGTGGAGGAGGACATCCAGGGGCATGTCACTTCAGTGGAAGAGTGGAAATGCATGTACACCCCTAAGATGCCCATCGCGCAGCCCTGCAACATTTTTGACTGCCCTAAATGGCTGGCACAGGAGTGGTCTCCGGTAACTGTGCCTTCTTTCTTTGTTCATTAGGAGAGTAAGTCCACTCTTCCCTCTCCTCATCATGGCCCCACCGGGTACCCTGTGCAGCTCCACACTTCTCCTCTTGAGGTGTCTGGAAGCCTACCAGCTTAGCTCCTGGAATAGGAATGCCCCAAATCCGGCATGACCAAAAGTAAATGATGTTTTTGTTTTTGTTTTTTTTAAATGTCTTTCTTCAAGTTACTTCCAGAAGCCTCTGCTGCTCCCCAGATAATGTTCCCTCAAATGGCAAGGGGAAGCAAATGCCTTTCAAGAGTAATTGAGGCTGAATGACTGTTCCTGAATCTGAAAGCTGCTTTGATGATAGAGCTCTGTAGACCAGAAGTCTGACTTCATTTTTTATTATGCTTTGTCTATGTCCGAAAAGAATCTAAGTGGATTAAAATTTTAAAATCTACATATTAGTCACTGGGTGGGGGGAGGTGAAATGAAAACAGCACAAAAATTAAAATTGGGATGAAGGAGGATAATTAAAACCAAAAAATTGTAGACATTAGGAAACCTGCTGTAATTAAACATAAAATGTTATTCCGGGTTTCCTGGCTGCTGATGCAAAAAGGGAAATGACAAAGGAAATGGAAAGATGAAATAAACCACCGTGCCCTCAGTCACAGAAATGCTGAGAGATTTTTCAGAGCTTTGTAGCTTTATGACAGCCGATCAGAGCTGTGACGTTTGCTATAGCTGGACATGCTACCAGACTTGGAAAACTGCTGGAGGTGCTATTTACGTCTGGCAACTGGCCATTGAATCGGTTCATTTAAGCATTATTTTTCCTTTTCAACATAATCAATTGGATCGGCCATGCTGCAGTATAAATGAGCTATGATGGCAGGTTAAAGTTTTTTAAAGTCCACGTGGGAGCATATCCCATATTTTTGGAAGTAGCAGTCATTAGCAAAATAACTAATTGAAATGCCGTGTTGTTAATACAAATTGAACACACTCTACAGTTTCTTTTCTTCTTCTTTTCGGCGCTTGGTTTGAGACTTTGCACACAGTGGGTGCTTAAAGATTGCTGACTGATTAATCCAAAGCTATGGCATTGAAAGTGATTGAATTTTCTACCAGGTTTACCTCAAATAGCCAAACAGAACAAAGATCCCATGACTGAGAAGAAGTGGTGTAAATTTATCAGGCGTCCTCATGTTAAAAAAAAAAAAATGGAGTCCTTAGATGAAAAGTCTTACTTAGGTGGGAAGTGAAGAAAAATAAACAAGGCTTTGCCTATGAGTCTCCTCTCTCTTGCAATCTCTTTCCAGTGCACGGTGACGTGTGGCCAGGGCCTCAGGTACCGTGTGGTCCTCTGCATTGACCATCGAGGAATGCACACAGGAGGCTGTAGCCCCAAAACAAAGCCCCACATTAAAGAGGAATGCATCATACCCACTCCCTGCTATAAACCCAAAGGTAACTTGACAGGTTCTCTCTTACCGGTCTGTGAATTGTTGCGTGTATTCAGGTGCTGTTTTAAACTCCTTGAAATAGTTTTAAGCATCCCAAGTATTCTTAGTAACACTTCTTTAGAATGTAGACTCTAGTAAATGAACTTGATTCTTTTTTAAAACATCTTTCAAGTAGTTTTGATGGCAAATTTTTATTAAGCATTGTATATGGAAGTCTATTTATATAATTGTCTCCCAAGTCATAAAGTTGTTTGAAGATTGTTGCTGACAATATCAGATATAGCTGCTTCAAAGAAGGCTAGATATTATAGAAATGTATGTGTAATTTACTATCCACGTTTCTTGCTGTTAAAAAAGGGGGTTGGGGAATAAATCCAAGTGTGTCAACTTTGCTAAGTCTGAAATCTATTGAGACGTCTCATACTTCAAACTGATGAAACAGAAAATTGTCCCTTTTGATACTGAAAATCAAAACATTAATATGAGACTGAATTCCAGAACCACAGTTTGAAATATATCAGAATTTAATAGATATTGCAAATAATTTATGAAAGAAATTTGAGAAAAGTTCTACCTTTTGAGCAAGATTTATTATAATTATTCTAGGTCCCTCAGATTAGCAAGAATACTAATTTGATTTCTGTGCAAGTATTGTTTCTTGTCTGTGTCAATGAAATAAAAAAATCCAAAGTCACAAACTGTTCAGAGGTAAAGAACTCTTTATTATAAACCTCCTCTAACTTTTCATGTTAAATATGGTTCCCATTTCTTTCTCAACTTATATCTTCAATTCATTATAATTATCTGAAAGTAAGCCACAGCATGATTCTTTATTGTGCAGTAGGTTACTCTTGTTGCAAAGGAAATCAAAAAAACAGAATCATGATAGAAATCCTGGTTAACTTTAATAAATACACCTCTCTCTAAGTCTCGGTTTCCTCATCTATAAAATGGAGATGGTAATATCTACCTCAGAGATCCTGTGACGGTTCGATGAGATACAATGTAAATAGGGTGGTTGGCCTCGTTTGGGGCATGTAAGTTCTGCTCATATGTTACCTTCAGCTCTTAAATATCAATCGTGTCCTCAGATATGGGAGAAGGTAGCCACAGGCACATCTGATAGAATTCAGTTCAAATCAACAGTTAATTATTACAAGCCTACTATTAGTGCCAAACTGAATGCTTCATTACGAAAAGACAGAGAGTTAACTCATGCTGTCAGAGATAGCTTCATTGACTAAGACATTTCATTGGGATAGATGGGGTCGCTGTAAAATGATGTATGTATAAGTACTGTGTTGCTATGTTCAAAACGTTAGCAAACACTTTTGGCTTTGGAAGTTACATTTCTCTTTGCTTTGTTTTCTGACTATAAGCAATTGCTGCACATAGAAGTCTAGAAGCAATGCCCCTGACTTAAAACAGTCAATTATTTATTAACTTTATCTTCACTAAGCCACTTCACAGAAAGAAAAGCAGTTTGTGGTTAACTATCAAGAATAAAATCTGGATTTTCACAACTAAGGAGTGAGCCTGGCTCTCTAAACATCATTAAAATACCATATAATTCTATGCTGCATGTATATATAGTCGTATTTCTTTCATCTTTGCAATTATATGCTATAAACTGGTGATAGCACTTCATTGGCTCACACTATAAAGGCAAATATGCCTATAAATGACCCTAATAAATATGTCAGAATGAGACTCTTGGCAGTTACTTCTGTAGGAGCAGTTATAATCTCCCTCTTCATTTTTCTCCTCCATGACATTCTTTTCCCAGGAAGTAGTTAGGAAGCTTGTTCTGAATTGTTTGGCCAAAGCTAGATAAATAGGTAAAACACATCAAATTGTGGGTTATGAACCCTCAGTTGCATATATTCCAATTGCTAGTGAGCCTTAGGGTAGCACTGAATGAGTCAAATATTTAAAGCCGTGTCTTGTGAATTTCAGAGTGGCAGAGTTTGTTTTTGACAGTGTGGCATAGATCACGCTTAGCCAAAAAAAGAGTTAGAATGTATGAAAGTACCACAGTATAATTGATTGTACTTTGTGTTTATCTTAAAAGGTAAATATTGCTCTATCTTTTCAACAGGAAATGGTGAAAAGATACTGGGATGGTTTTCATATGCATATTGAGCTAGTGCTCCGAGAGCTATGACTTTCATAATAGAAAGACTTTCCTTTGCCATTCAGTAGAATAAAGAGGAAGCATGTATGTACAGAGACTAGTATTATTAAACATTTTTAAAATCCTGTTTTATTTTTCTTGATATAACCATCATCAGAGGCGGCAGCATACCTAAAAGTTTATTATATGTGAGTGTCTACATAGTAAATTCTAGGCACAGTACAAAACTAAGAATGAGTGAGGAGATAAAGAAATTTTCCTGAAATCCCAGATTGGTCCTAACCTCTTCTCTCTTATGTGCATGCGCTGAATTCTCAGAGAAACTTCCGGTCGAGGCTAAGCTGCCGTGGTACAAACAAGCTCAAGAGCTAGAAGAAGGAGCTGCCGTGTCAGAAGAGCCCTCGTAAGTTTCAAAAGCACAAACTATTCTACTTTTGAAACGGATTGGTTTAAGGAAAACAGTGTTACACTGCTTGTGGCTTTCACGGGTTCTGAGCAAAGCGTCATCATCTGACCAAGGCCAAAAGGTGGCTTTTTAATTGAGATTTGTTAGTTTCAAAGCGTTTGTCAAAACTCACAATTGATCTCCAAATATTTTCCCATTTTGCCTAAATCAGGGAAAGGAAGGTATAGTGCTTACTGTCTTCTCCCAAATCTGACTTCCTTTTTTCCCCTGACAAAGGGCCAAAGGTCAGAAGGCCCAGGCAGCATCTGATGATGCAACACAGATTTGATGTGAAAGTCTGGGCAACTTTTGACACTCATTATCTCCTAGCTTTGCACAGAGCCACTCACAAAAATTAAAGGGTAAGTAAAATATATCTGAGGGCAAAGAAAGTTTGTTTGCCTTTCTTTTCCCTTTCTTGCTGGGATTGGTATCAGAGGGAAACCCAGGACTCTGCCCGGTTTGACCACTGCCTGTTAAGTTTTGTGAAGACCATGAAATTTGTAAGACCATTAGACACAAATTTGCTAGATGTTTCAGAAGAGAGACAAGAGTAGGTGAATTGATTGATAAATATATATATACGTGTGTATATGTACATATTTATGTATCTATGTCTTATTTTATATATATATGCATATATATATTGATTTCACCAGAAAACACTGATAATCATATCTGCTGCATCATTTTTACAAATAAGGGAATGCACTTTATTGACAAATTTCATCTATCACCAAAGCAATTTATCGGGTTGAAGACTTTCTGGGTTAAGTCATTTATTGTAAGTACTAGGCTCTGTGCAATTCACTGGCACATAAGACACGGCACCTACCCTCTAAGCGTTCACAGTATAGCACGTAGGACATGAAATGGTTTCCACATTCAACCCATAGTTTAAATTTTACTAGAGATATAAATTAACATGTTAATCTCTCCATTCAAGTGCAATTTGGAATTTTCTCAGCTTTCTCCCATTTGAATCTAACTCTGATGTGATTATGCAGAACACAGTTGTGTTCCTGAATCCCACTCTACACAGCAAGAAATTCAAAATACAGATTTGTACAATAACCAAAGGTCATTTGTAAAGAAATGGTATTAGATCACTTGATTTCACCAAAAAACGGTACATACATTAGGTAAAACATTTTCTACTTAAAAGGACATTTAAGCAAAACACAAATATTTCTGTTCCACTTCTTTGAGAATAAGCATCTAACTTGCAGAACTTGGGAGGAAAGACAGTCATTAAAGGTCACAATGCAACCTTTAAATAAATAGATGAAGGTTTAAACATTTTTGTCTCTCTCCTACTAGTGCTGGAGTTGCCAGGCCTTTTGTTGCTGAAGAGGAAGTAAGTGGTTCATTTTAGAAGGGTATTAACTCCTTAAGGCTGTAAGGTCCTATTTAAGACGTAGAAAGATGCTATGTAATTGGTGCTGGTTATTCTTTTATGTATTCTTAGGTTACACATGTTTAAAGCCAGATATGTATTATTTTGCCTAAATCAACTCTCTGCTCTCCTGTACTCCAAATTTGGTCATTTGGTGTAAAGCATAATCTTATCCATAACATTGCATTCCGACTGATGTTAAATAATACAACAGAGTTGAAAATACATAAAAACATCTTACATCAACAATGAAACTTCTTTCCCGTCGTTATTAATAAATGTCTCTCAAATGAGTTTAGTGCTTCTGAGAAGCATTACATAGACTATGGTCAACCATATTTTGTAATGAGTGCTTTCTACTAAAGGTCTGATTAAGAGGCACAATGTTTAACTCTAATCTTAATAAAATCCCTAACGTAGTTAGACACATAGTTTTGGCCGTTGAAACTACCCGCCACGTATTAGACTATTACATTTCACTCTTAGTGTAATGGAATTGCCATCTTGGCATGATTAATCTGAATTGAAGTCGATTGTAATTGGAGTGCTATTGCAAGGTAAAGGAAACATATACTATTATGCTCAGAACAATGATTACTTTTATATCAAAATGAAATAAATGACAGCTGTAGAATAATGTAATGAAAGGTATATGGTTTCCACATTTTAATACACTTTACATGTTTAGTGCACTGAACTCTAAGAAAAGTCCTAAGTGTCACATTATTTTTTAATTGATTTTGAATTTTAAAACCATAATTTTGCATGGTCTTAAGTCTGTCTTTTTTTAAACCACATAGACCAGGTTCTAAATGTATATAACAACCTATAATTACTCTCCAAAGCATAATGAAAAAATGATATACTGTCAGCAAGTCATCCCTTCTCCCCACCAAAGAGACTCACATTGCTTATAATAAATGGTAATGTTTAGAAATTGTGGCTGTCACTTCAGTGAAGCAGGAACAGTGGTCCAGAGCTATTATCTCTTGCTTTGGCCCCAGCCAACATCAGAGAGTTCTGTAGTAAAGCAGCAAATATCATTGTTTCCTCATATGGAAAGTGAAAATATTATCATCAGCCTGTCCCATTGCATAATACAGGAAAATCATTCGATTAAAGTCTTTAGCATATGGAGATACCCTTGTTGAATGTTGGATACTTTTAGTAACCTCAAAATGTAAGGAAAAGATTGGTTAGCACTCTGGCCAAACATATGTTGGAAAGCGACCAATCCAAGATGTTTGGAAGAAAACAATGATAAAAGACTAAAAACTGAATTGCCAAGAGATAACTAAAACTTTATAGAACAAAGGAAGGTACCAACAACCAACATTGTGGATATATTAAACTAAACCCCATGCAGAAGGTCCAAATATAAATATCAGTCTCATAGAATCACAATAAGTATGGAGATTAGATCACATTTATGGTAATACATGGCTAGATTTATCATGTAAAGCTGCACTTCAATTCAAAATATTTCTAGTTGTTGATTTTGTTTCCCCCAACAACAGAATGCTTTCTTAATGATATGTTTGGTTCATATGGCAGAAAGGTAGGAATAGTGTGACGAATGTATTCTTCTTGGTATGCAAAGCATGAATTTCTAACCCACGGGAGAGCTGTACTCTGAGCTGATTTTTCACTGGTGGCCATGGTTTGCCTTGATCCAGATATATGTTTTTATCAGGCTTTCCTGACAACAGGCAGCAAGAATCTTTAAACAAGGTATGTTTTTTTCCCTCTCCTGTTGAGCGAGACAACTCAAACAAGATCCAAATCCCAAACTGAGGCTAAGTGATGGGGTGCTTTAGCCACTGAAACTCATCAAACAATGGCAACCTTATAAATAACTGCAATAAACTGAACTTGCTTCAGAGGATCTCAGCTGAGGAAGCAACAGAAATCCTTTCTGTCCAATTAACGTAGAAGAAATTGAGATTAGAGATCACTTAAGATTCTGGGAAGTCGCATTCTTCTGAGTGTGATCATAGTGCCATGCTAGCACTAGAAAAAGGGGATGGAAAAAATACTGATGGAATTCTCTTCTGTTAAGATGTAGAACTGTATCATTTTGAATTTGCCTCCAGCTGCTGAGAGTGTTGTTGGCTTTTTGGGGGTTTTGTTTGTTTGTTTGTTTGTTTGTTTGTTTGTTTTTTAACTGGAGTCTCACTCTTTCTCCCAGGCTGGAGGGCAGTGGCAAACTCACACTCCAGCCTCAACCTGCTGGGCTCCAGCGATCCTTCCGCCTCAACCTTCCAAGTAGCCAGAACTAGAGGCGCACGCTACCACGCCCGGCTAATTTTTGATTTATTGTAGAGACGAGGTCTTGCCAAGTTACCCAGGCTGGTCTCAAACCCCTAGGCTCAGACAATCCACTCACCTTGGCGTCCCAAAGTGCTGGGATTACAGACTGGGCCCAGCCTGTTGTTAGATTTTAGATACCTCATTTAAATGCCAGATTGAGCCTCTCTGGTTGTTTCTGCTGAAAAAGATATGGGAATCACTTTCTAGGTCTTTTTTTGAAACCCCTAGAAGTTTACTTTTATTTGGTGGGGATCAGAAATACAATGTTGTAGTACAGTTATATTTATGAATCAGGCAGAAGCTAAAAAAATTATGGAGAGATTTTCCATCTCTAATTTTTATGTCTTACTTTTAGTTTTTGTTGAAATGTACACATAAACATCTCTGCCATCTCAAGACAAGTACAATATGACTCCTTTGACAGCTTAATTTCTTGAAAAATAATACAATGGTGGACATTTAAAGAAATATTGTTGAACAGGAAGTCATTCAGCTAACCTTAAAAAGCCTCATCTACCTTGAAGTAGGAAGGAAATTGTTCATTTCCTTAATTCCCGTGGGCCACCAACAGACCACTGAATGCCCTGGAAAGTGTAATTTGCTAAGGGAGTCATGCTTTAACATTACTTTTTTAAGAAATGCATGGACTGGATACTTCAGGTGCACTTCCTTTCTCTTTCTATACTTCCCGATCGCTAAAACAAGGCATCTCAGGTAGAGGAAGTGAGGACTAATTGGACACTTAGGGAAACCAGGATCTTCCCTGATATATCTCAGTGGCCATCGGTTCTTCAATGGCTCAGAACAAGTAACAGGTTATGATAGTTCCTTTAAATACGGCGTAACCAACACAGCCATTTTAACATGGCATCCCCTCATCAAATAGCCTTCACTAGTTGGACAGCCTTAATGATTCCATTCTCTCAAAGGTAGGAATGGCTAGTCCTTGAGCCTTGATCTTGCATGTTAAAAAATCTTGGGTTATCTTTGTAGACTTTCAGTTGATGGCTTTGCATGGTTACAAAACCATTTTGGTGCTTCAACATAATATCCAGGCCTTAAATGTATTGCCATAAATAACCTTTGTGTGAGCCATTAGAAAAGAAGAAGAAAAAAGAAAAAGGAAAAAAAAAGTAAGCAGGCAGAAGGCAGCAGTAATATCTGGATGCCAGATGGCATCAGCTTAACGATGGGCCTGATTCAATAAGATGCAAAGGGAAATTCCAGTCATGCATCTGTGTGAACAGAACCC